CCACGAGGTCGTCTCGGCGGCTGATCTCAGGGGGGCAGGTGCTGCCCCGGTACCGCACGTGGTACCAGTGAGCCTGTGGAGAACAGAGGGGTCCCTGCTTCACCAGCTGCTCTGTCACCCAGAGACCCCCCTCAGGAAGGGGAATCAGGCAAAGGAGAGGAGCCCCGGGGGTTGAGATGGGAACAGATTTAATAAATTCAATTATTAAAGGCCATAATATTAATACCAGTATTAATAGAAAGCACACAAGGTTAGACTTGGCCCGTGTAGTGGTGCTGAGCTGTGCTCTGCCAGAAGGGGATGGCAGGGGTCAGGCACTGTCAGCACCACAGCTCTTGTGAAAGGGTGACAGTCACAGCACCTCGGAGAGGAGGCCTCACGGGCAGCATGGGCGGTGAGACCCTCCTGGGGTGGTGGCCATCAGGAGGACACACCTTCCCCCAGCAAACTGCAGTTTACAGCGAGCGTGATGTTTATGGTATGGAACACTTCTGCTGGCCAGCGTGGGCCAGCTGCCCTGGCTAACTCAAAACTGCCAGAGACCTTGACTGCCATGGAGACCAGCACACCCCGACTGGCCACGAACGAAAACAAAGCCTCTTATCAGCTTTGTTCTCACCAAATTACGTGCTGCAGGCTTCTCGAAAATGCCCTTTCCTGAACAGAAGGCTGGTTCTTTGATTCTACCCCAGCAAACCAGCCCAGGTGGGTGGACAGTGTCCCCCTGTGAGGCCAGCCCCTCGTGACACCACGTTCAGCTGCTGGGGACAGGGCTGCACAAACTAAACACAGCCCAGAAGAGAGGCCTAGACTGTGGCCAGCAGCAGCCATTTCACCTTTCTGTGTGTCATTACCTGAGGGGAAGGCCCAGCGGTACAGGACTAAGCTTTACACACAAACACGTTGTCACCAGCACCCTGCAAAGCTCCTGGAGAGAAAATGTGAAGCTCTTCCAGCTTCCCTGCTCCTTACTCACCACGTGGATCTTCAGGTCAATGGAGAGGCGAACATGGTAGGGGACGTCGTACTCCCGCATGTCCACGATGTTGTCCAGCTGGCTGGCCACCTTCCGGGAGGCCCCTTCCTCATCCGTGCTCAGGCTGCCTCCACTCAGGACACTGCAAGGAGCCAAGGAGAGCAGCTGGAGCAGAGGGAAGCAGTCACCTCACCTGAGTGCACATCCCCACAGGTTCGGCCGCTGGGGGCAGCCACATGGCACTGGTGACACCAGGAGCTGTTGACAGGAGAGAAGGGGAAACACGTCCCTGCCACACAACCACCCTCTGCTTGCAGAGGCATCTCCAGGCCACAGTCCCATCACTTCTATCTAAATTCAACTGTTCTCACATTCATGAGCTGTGCCTGCTCTCCACTCAGGGGTCCAGGCAGACCAAGCCCACACGTGCCTGTAGCACGAATGGTTCTTATGGCACCAGGCTTATCAGTATGGTAACAAGTCTAAGCACAACGAGGCAACCTGGGAAGCACTTTGAACCAGGACAGGAAGCCTTCTGGTAAGCAGGGAGCACTCATCTTGCTTCCTTCCTCTTCCCCAAGTCTCAGCTGAAATCAGACTTCTTGCCCAAGAAAGCAGAGGGGTGAATTTTTCATGGTTATATTCTGGTTGACCTTAAAACCAAAGTTCCTTATTTTATCTCCGTTTGCAATTGTGCTTCCAACCTTGTAAACCAGGGGCTGGCTTTTTGTTCAGCTAGCTAAGGTTTGCTGAGGTTTCTTCCCCCCTTTAGCTACAGCCAGAAGGAAGATTGCCCAGCGCCTCTGGGGTCAGGACAACACCTCTCTGAGGACAGCTAAGAAATCATCAAGGGAGCCAACCATTAATGGCAGGGACCAAACAGCAAGCCCAAGGAGAGCCCCCACCTCGACAGCATGGCCGTGTAGACGTCGCCCGCGTGGTCCCGCTCTCTGTTCTTCCTCACAGCAGGAGAGATCTCCTTCCGCACCCTCACCAGGTCGTCCACCGTGTTGAAGGACAGCTTGATGTAGTTCCTCTTCAGGCCCACCAAGTGGTTCGGCTGCAAAGCAGCAACACACCACCAGCTAAGGGGGGAGGAGTGCTGAGGGATGGCCACCATGGGGGGGGAAGGCAGACTAGACTGGAGCAGGTGGAAGAACTGGCCAAAAAAAGAGGTGCCAACAGGTGGGAGAGTCAAGCCCCGAGACTCTGGTGAGCATGTCGGGGAAGAGCACAAGAGCTGCACAGAGAGGGCCCTGCCAGCCCTGCTGCTTATGCAGGACCATGAGTGGGATTCCCCTATGGAAGAGGAGGAAAAGCAGGTCAAGCATGAGCAGCATCCCTCCCTTCCACAGTGCCCTCCCCCCCTCCAATCACTCTTTCATTCCTGCGACTAAATGTCTTGCATATGCTGTGGAACAGCTGATGTGCTCAAGGAGAGGAATGTTATTGTTGATAAGCAATTAGGTGTAACTAACCTGTTTCTAAAAGGCACCACAAGCAGCACTAGGAGACTGACATCAAACCCAGCACTTCCCTTCACTGCTCAGTCCCTTCCTACTTCATTAGAGCTGTGCAAGCTCCGAAAAAAAAAAAAAAACCACTACTCAAGAGCACAGAGGGCAGAGGAATACAGACCAGGTCTAAGTCTTCTTTGGGGACAGTTTCCAGCTTTGCAATCTTCCCTTGGAACTTCTTGGAGAGGAAGGAGGACACTTCTCGCTCACAGCCCTGCCGAGAGACCCCAGGCTGAGCAGTGGGCTCTGTCCCTCGGGAGAAGACAGTCCCAAAGCAGGATGCCCAGGAGGTCTCTTGCCTCTCAGGGACCTGCTGTCCCATTCCCTGAGGGCCTTGCCCACGCAGGGTCCCCTCCTCACCTTGTGAGTGGCGATGTAGAAGTAGGGCTTGTAGGGCAGGGCCACCTAGGACAGAGCAGACGGGCGATGGAGAGAGGTTCCCTCGTGGGACCCCGCTCCCCTTCCAGTCCCCCGGGGACCCACCTTGAAGCGGCTCCCGTCCTCCTGGATGAAGTAGTAGTCCACAGCGCTCACCGACCGCCGGTCCTCGTCCA